GGGGGGGGGGGGGTCTCTGGGACGAAAATTCTCTCTCAAGGCAAAACAAATCTGAACGCCAACGCGAAAAGAAAGAGCTAACCTGCAGATGGCGTTGAGCAGGAAGGCGCCTAGGATGGCCAGCACTTGAAACATCATGTACCTGCGTTGGACAGGGGGCGGGGGGGGATCGTGCGGTCACGACAGTCATGAGAGGCAGCCAACATCTCCAACGGACGAGTGAACTACGTACTCATTCATGTCCATCTTTGTCCGACGAGAATATGACGCCCAACACCTCCGGGTCCGAGAGAAACGGGTTCAACGCGAAGCGACGGGCAAGCTAGGCGGCGCCCTCGCACCCAGAGGATGGACCTTTGAGCCCCCGTCCGCGCGCTCGAGCGCCTTCGATCGGCAATCTCAGCGGGCCAACGACACCCGCTAAGCTGTTGCCAACAAAAGCAACCTGCTCTTCTGCTCGGAGGGAGGGGACCCACTCCCGAAGGGTTCACGTGTTTTCACGGGTGAAGCAGCGAGTGAAAGGGAGGGAAAGGAGGCTGCGCCATGCGCCAGCAAAACAGACCAAGGAGACAAAGTGTGTTGCCACTTTTCGCGTGGGCAAGGAACGGGCGATGGGTGGAAGAAACTACGACAAAGTTCCCGCACGAAGAGAGGTTGGGACCCTGAACGGGGGGCTGGTGCTGTTTATCTGGAGGCATGTGGTATTTAGATCGATCACGGACGTCGTCAGACAGGGTGATGAAAGGCCGAAGCCAAATGGTTCCGGATAACGGCGTGTGTTCAGCAGCAGATGGTTGGCTTCCGATACCCCCATTGTCCTGGTTACGAAAGAGTACCTGAGTCCGCCGAGAAAAAAACACCGAGCGGCTTGGGTGGACTGCAAGCGGGACCGCGTTCAGCAGAGCGGAGAGGTATGACCCTTGCATTTTTCAAAGAGTTGGTGGGCGATCTTGCAAAGCGAGGTCGGGATCGCGCCTTGTGAAAACTCCCGTGTTCTGATAAGCTTTCTGTTGCCGTCATCTTCGGACTCAAATAATACCGCAAAAGAGCGCGAATGATCACACGCCCCTTTTTCAGACCCTTTGTCATGGCTCGATTGCTCTATAATACAATAAAAGAGGGCGCGATTAACCGACCGATAACTTCAAGAAGAGCTCCCTCCGCGTGAGATAGACCTTGCAAGGACACCAATTTCGGCGCTGACAACCTGTGCAGCCATCGAACCATGGAAACTGATCTATGTAGGGGGTCGTGGGATGATGAGTCCCGCTCTTGCATGTACCTGAGTCTTCCACCACGACGAGACGACTCGCTCGATTTGCACGTATCGGGGACAACAGTAGTGCTGTGTTCTACGACAGAGCTAAGCGAGACAGGTGCCGACACGCCAATCAGTCGTCTTTTCCGTCCCCCTTGTCTGTCGAACAATCCTGGGATGCTTGATCACCGCTATCTCTGGCGGCTTGCGTGTCGTACGACTCGAGGATACAGTACTTTGGTTCGTGGGCTTCGTAGTAAATTGACGGAGGCGACCGCAACCGCAGTGAACAACAGAAGCTGATGGGTGAATAACGCCTACTGTAGTTCAGAACGTGGGACTTGGGTCTCCTCAACCAACACGCCTCCTTATTCCTGCCTACCTGTATCATCCAACGTCAGCAGGATATTCCTTCTGACTGGACTGACCTAGGAAGTTGTCTCTGTTCTCTGTGAAGAAGAACTTCCATCCGTGACCTCGACGGTCGATGGCTGTCTGCCTCGTCTTCCTTCCTTTCTCAATTATTACCTCTCGGATTTCACCAGGCCTGCCCTACTGCTGTCCACGTCGTCCTACACGTGCCCCACTGCCTTTGTCGTTGATCAATGAGAGGAAGACTTGCTCACTGCGAGAAGCACTAGAGAGTTCGTAATTCTCCATCGACTGCTGTCGCACTCTGGACCTGAAACCACTTGGCATCATTTAGGTACTCCTTGAACCCTATTCCTTCGTTCAACGTTCCGTTCACTTTTATGCCCTCCTTATCCTTCGGTTTATTTCCTTAGATTATGTTCTCTAGGCAAAAGAAACAGATATCTTCTGCTTGAACCCTTCTAGACCCCACGTATCCAGGGTATCGCCTTCGTCGATTTCGAACCCCTTCCATACGTCCTCAACAACCTTGGCCCACTCCGTGGGTTGTCTACCCCTCTTTTTGTTTGCCCACTTCGCCTCCCAAGCTATTATCAGTAGCCTCTCCAACACATGGGGAAAGGAGAGGCTACTGATAATAGCTTGGGAGGCGAAGTGGGCAAACAAAAAGAGGGGTAGACAACCCACGGAGTCGGCCAAGGTTGTTGAGGACGTATGGAAGGGGTTCGAAATCGACGAAGGCGATACCCTGGATACGTGGGGTCTAGAAGGGTTCAAGCAGAAGATATCTGTTTCTTTTGCCTAGAGAACATAATCTAAGGAAATAAACGGAAGGATAAGGAGGGCATACAAGTGAACGGAACGTTGAAAGAAGGAACAAGGTTCAAGGAGTACCTACATGGACCAATGGATTGCAGGGACAAAGCTGCAGGTCAAATTCAGGACTGGGGACACAGGACTTCGAGCAAAGACATACTGCTGTGCGAAGGTAGACGCCAAGTTCAAATGTGATCGCGGCTCCGGCTGCGAAGACCGGGTTCATGTGGTGGCGAAATGTCGGCTGTACAAGAAGGAGAGGGAAGTGAACATGACTGAGCTGGGAAAAGTAGAAGAAAAGTACTGGGAGATGTTTGAGGCATGGGATAGCCAGGAGAAGACGTTAGCTGTACTGGGGCATAGGAAGTGGTATCGGTGGGATAGGCAGCCTACTAATTATTTTGAGCCACCTTTGGCAAAGTAGAAAGGAATGATTGGCCATCGGTGATCGGTCCTGTGGGAACAATGCTCCGTCCTCGCGAGGACGCGTGGTCGATGGTCTAACAGGTAAGGCATGCAGAACCACTACAAGGGTACGCTCTCCGCCGCCCCATAACACCAACAGCTGAGGCCGGAAGGGCCTGGTGTAGAGCAGAGGCAATGGATGCCACCACACGAAGTATCCATACTACGCATAAGTGACAAAGATAAACATGCCACAGCAGTAGGACTGGGAATTCATGCCTGAATAAACGAGCTGCGGATTGCTTGCTGCATGTCAGCAGGCAGGGTTACTGCAACCATGCCGCCCAGGATGTTAGAGCTGCAACGGAGTTCAACCAACGTCAATTTTACAGCAGCATAATGACCCTTTGTACGCTACAGACCACCCCAGAACGCAGTTAACAATTGGCGCTGCTTCTTCGTGACGTTCAGCTACTTCATGTCCGTACTCATGACTCACATGAAGAGCAAGCTAATGGTACGGTTGAAAGAAGGGAAGCGCTTGGACAGCACTCTTGGTGCATGGACGAGCCATGTCCGGATCGTCGACTCGAAGAGGTAGATGGGCTTGATGGCTTGTCTCACCCTGCTAGCACCAGGTGCTGCCTCCCACGACAGCACAGGAGTCCATGACCCTACGACCCTCACAAAACGTTGCATTCCCTCGCCAGCAGACGTCCAGGCGCTCCTACCACAGGCTCCCTCTCTCCCTGCCGACACATGTGCTGGTGTGTGATGCAACCGCCCCCTTCCACTTCATGTGATGCCTTGGTGCTGCGTGGGGAGTCCGTGAATCAGTCGTCAAGTTCGGAAACTTCGCTATCAACAATCAACAAAATAACTAACACTTCTCCAACACAGGGGATATTTCACTTTCACTCGATTTTACAAAGCAAGCATCCCCTCCCCAGATCAGAACTGTATTTTTTTTTTCTGCGCGTACAAGGAAGCGATTCACACATTATTGATTGAGGGAGGTATCGCTGCTCGCGTGACGCCTTTCGCCTCTTTTGCCGTCACCTGCCCGCGACCCACGCCCACGGAAGAGCAAGAGAGCAATATCTCCACTCCTCCTCGCTCCTCGCGTGTGTGGCCGAGTGTTTTTTTTTACCTGACTCAAGGCCGAAACGAACACACAGGCCCTGAAGGTAGCGAGGTTCAGCAGGCCTTTCCGGGGTGTCGTGCTGCTGCTGTGTGCGACATACCACGAGCGCTATTAGGGGTAAAGATACCGCTCGAGAGGGGGGAGTGGCCGTTAGAAGAAGGCGGGAATCGGGTCTCAAGCACACACGCGCGCGCGGGGCGCAGGACGCCGGGGCTGAACAGAAACAGGAGCCTCTTGCACGCCTCTAGACCGAGGCCATGACTTTCACAACCGCGGCGGCTGACAGCAGCAGCAGCAGCAACAACAACAACAACACAAGGGGGTTGTCGGGAATGATGGCTTCCTTGAACCCCTTCAACAAGACGAGGGGACGCCACGGGGGCAGCAGCTCGACCTCGAAAAGCAGTGGGGGCAGGGGGGGGGGAGAGGCGGTGCCACGGAGCTTCGCCCTGAACGGAGGTCGGTCCAGCTCCGCGCGGCTCTCGGAGCAGCGGGACGAGCCACTGCTACCAGAAAGGGGGTGAGGTGTGCGTGGAGGTCGTTTTTTTTTTTTGATTCGAGAGAGAGAGAGAGGTGATGTTTCGGGAGAAAAGGGGGTGCCGCGCGCGAACTTTGTTTCACCTACGACGTGCATCATTCCGAAGCTCTTTCTGTATAGCGCCTCAGCAGCAGTAAGGAGAGAAGCGAGCCTTTTTCCGCGAAGGCCTGCCGCATGGTGTTGGCCGTGCTGCTTCCTCTCTCTCCTAACCAGTGGTCAACTCACAGTCGCACGCACTCCATGTAGAATACCTGTTGTCGGTTTCATAAATCAATACTCTGTTCTACAAACCACGTCTGGCAGGTCTGGCATTTCTGTGTGTGCCTGTGGTTTGTGAGTCAAAATGCGCATACAAAATTAGTCCGTTTTACAACATACCATGACTGCTGTATCAAGATATATTCGGCAACAAGATTCCGCATTTTGAGGTTTCTCGGGCGCCTTCAACTTTGGTCAGCTTGTTTGAGTGCGAAGATTGCTTTCCCCGAGATCTTGCATAGCGCATGCCACTAGCTCTATTCAACAAGCCTTCATGACGAGCTCATGCCGCACGTACATAGAAGTGATACACGACACGAGACGGCTGGTACACACGTTCGACCAAAGAATAAGAAAAAAGTTTCTCCTCGAGTGATAATCTAGAACAGTCGACCAGTTTCGGCTTGGTATATCGTAGAAAGTACGCGTGAATCAGCAAACGCGCTTTTGTCCTGGTGGGGGGGGGGG